TGTTGTTGTTTTACTCGTAAGTTAATGTGACATTGTTGTAATGTATTAATTTTTTTGTCAATGTCATGTTTGTATTAGTTTGTTAATATGTCATGTTCATGAATGTGTTTGAAATGTACTGCAGTTTTTTATATGTGAACGCACCAACCTCATCAAGCCGAAACGACACAGTGTGCTGCCACGATTCTGCAGATAGAACATTGCAAGTTTGACAACCAAAATGAAAGGGGTGGACTTGACTCGCGGAGGACAATTTGAGGTATGACATGGGAGGATGATTTGTATGGTTGTATTGGATAATACATGTTGGAGTGGTTAACAATTTTGTGACGTGTTTGACAGGTGAGGTGCGGTAAACTGGAGGGGGCAATTCTTGAACGGTACAAAATATGTACGACATTGGTTAGTGGTGAATGTAGGAGGACATAAGGCAAAGTGCTGGACGAACAACCAGTGTCAGTGTATGTTGGTGTGTCATGTAAAAATGTTGGTGCTGATGTTATAGAGGCAAGTTTTAACTGTTGGCAAGTGGACTCATCTGCAGGGGTCCATGTTGAGAAAGACGGAATGACGGACGAGGCAGACACAGACGAGAGAGGCAACAAGTTTGTTACGAAGCATGGATTGGGCATGGTTGTTGGAGGTGAAGGGTGGCCAGTATTATTCCCAGATCTGCTGAATTTGTCAACCACGCAACCAACTAAGGATGCAGATCCAAAAGTAGTCAGTGGTAGCTTAACAATAAAATGAGTGAAACGTGTGACAGAGTAGTAGAGTTGGAGGAAGAATTGAGGCAGAAATTGGAACGTGTGCGTGAACTTGAATGTAGGGTTACGAGTATGGAGTGTGCACTTGGTTCACAAGCTGCAAATTTGTGTATAGGGTTCGATACTGTCATCAGTTTGAAGGATGCTGAAATTACACGTTTGAATGCCCTCTTGTCAGAGATGAAAACAACAATAGAACGATTGGAGGACCAGGTTGACGAGTACGAGGTGCACGAGGTAACGCAGGTAGCTAGGAACACAATTACAGGTCAAGGCACATTGGGTGGACGTAAGTTCAGTGCACAGTGTTATGATGGAAACCAGACGGATGGTCCGCTAAATAACATAACCAATATCAAAGGTAACAGTTGTGCGTTGAACGAATCGCGTAATGCCAATTTCGATGTAGTTAATACCGTTGTTGTTGGCCACAACATAATGGTGAGGAGAAATGATGGAGCTGTAAATCAGGGATCAACGTTACGTAAAGGTATTTGTAGTACAACGGGGGGAAAAGGTAAATGCAATTCTATAGCCACAAGTAACGCAGCCGCAACTGTAAACAATTCGAACATTAAACATGTTCTGGATCGGCCAGGTAGCGCTATGGTGGACAAAGTAATAGACTTTGTGAATATTGAGGCACCAAACATCACATCGTTGGTACGGCGTGTGAAGAGCAAAGCTAGACGGGAGTGGAGGTTACAGGATTACGAGTATCCTGGGTTGGTAAAGCGTTACAAACAGTCAAAAGATGAGGGCAATATAGACAGAAACACAAATGAGGGTGTAATTAACATTGAAGATGACGAGGGAGGGCGTAAAACATGGGCTGGATTTGGAATGAAAAATCGATATTCGGTTTGGAAATTGTTAGCTGAAGATGAACAGAAACTGTTGCAGGTGGTGTACACCTTTGAAGGGGACGAGTAACGTACACGTTTGGTAGTTTTGTTGTTGTGGTTTTTGTGAAATTGTTTATTACATTTCAATTGTACTTATGTGTTTGTAATTTGGTGTAGAGCTGTGATGTGGAGTGCAGCAGATTATGGTGTGCATGTTAATTTCAAAGACATCCAGGCGCTTATACAAGGGGGTGCGACTGTCGGGAATGTAAGTATGCTGTGCTATTGTCGATATGAGAACGTCTTAAAAAATAGAAGCTTATGCACATCATTATGGACGACAAATACAATTGAAAAATGTGTCTACTTTGTATTGCTAGGTTAGTGACGCATATGCTGAAATTTTAAGAAGTTCACAGAACATGCCGGCTGTTAATTGTGCTAATTTCAGCAAATCTTACTTCCACAACAGTGTGTGTTTAGTATGTACATGTTATTATGAGTAGTGTTACGTTGTTGCCTAATTTGTGTAATTGTTTTCGGACAATGGGGCAATGGAGTTGTGGGTTTTAATGGGTTTGTAAATGTTTGTAGGATACGATGAGGAACCCAAGCGTAACGTCTAAGGACCGTTACTTGAACGTGCACGTGACTGCTGCATCTGGGTGCAGATACGTCTACTACCCTATATACCATGCGAATCATTGGACGACCATGGTATACGATTCAGACTCGGGGACATGGACACACTACAATTCAATCAAATCGCATAGAGGCAATCGAGATGATCATTTTGCTGAGGCGGTGAAAGTGGTAAGTACAAGTGAATTGGAATTACATATATGTGTCGGGTGTGCGTACGTTACGTATAAGGTGATAGGGTGTGTTTAGTGTGACTGATTGGGTCATGTTACCTACACACAGAAACAGTGGGTCGTCGATTACACATAACGGGTACCAGGAAAAGTGCAATCATTTGTGGGTGTGACATCAGAGAATATCGACGGGCCGTTGGAGGCTTTGGGTGATTGTCCTCAACAACACCCGGAATCGTATGTGGACATTTGAACTCCGTTTTAAATTTGTTTTATTATCTGTTAAGGTATCTATTTGTTTTGGTAATGTTGATTAACGTGTTCACGTGTTGCCAACTAGCAGACCGGATTGCGCTATTATAGTATGCTTCATCATGCGGCAGTACATAAATAACGTGGAGGTTGAAGGTTCAATAGATGGGATGACAGCCAGTGCGTTTAGAGCAAAAATGGTTAAGGCATTCATCAATGATCCACAAAGAGGGCTCCAGAATCGGCCTCTGCCGTGACTGATTTGGTGGAATGCATAAATTAGCTAAAAATTTTATTTGGGTTTTTTTGTTGAACATGGTAATGTTCTGATTAGATGGTAGTGATTTTTTGATGGTCCATTAGCTACGTGACTGTTATTGGAGAACAACAAAATGTTACGTACAACAACATTAAAATAATAAGGGGCAAAACCATGATGGTTATTTTTTGGTAGGATTGCTCATGTTCATTAATTTTGTGCTTGTTTTGTTACATTGTGTTTGTGTGTGATGTTATTTCTGGGTTTGACATATTATAATGTGTATGTGTTGGATATGCTGGACAGTCAGTAGTGTTGTTCGCATTGGTTTAATGTGTGTAGTTGTTTTGGGAAAAAAGCTGTACGTAGGATGTCACAGAAACGGTATGTTTTAATGTTTAGTAGTTAATGCAGTCATAGTGTGGTTAGGGTTGATTGTATAGTTGAATGTATTTAAGTGTTTCAATTGGACGACATGGGTAGGGTCGTAATTGGAAGTATCGTCGTTCATTTTGAGTTACGTAAGTGTGTATGTGCATAATGTAATGTATGGTCATTCAAATGTAAGTGTTATTGTTGAAATGAGGTTCGCAGCGTGGCCATCATGTTTAGGGAGGGGATGGTGCTAAACTCAGAAATTAAAATATAGGATGTTACATTGAATTTGATAGGTTTGTGTTTTAAAATGTGTGGAATTCTTTGCTGGCAAAATTTAGATGGAAAACATTTTAATTGTTACTTTGATGCATAATACATGTATTTTTCATGTGATTCGTAAAGCACCACGAACAACCAAAAAAATGTGTGTGACATGTTAATGTATTAGAATTGGGTGTAATAGCAAACGCACAACACACATTGTAGTTATTGGTAAGGAAAGAAAATGGTGTAGGCTAATGTGGTTTTCACATATTAATGGAAATGTTAAATGTAGTGGCAGGTGTTAGGGCACAATGCATATCAGTAAATGTGATAAAATGTGAAAACAAACCCACATGCGCGAGCTTATTTAGTTTTCACATCACGAAAACGTTATGATGTCCGAGTTTAAATGAACGGGAAATAAAGTTGTAAAAAAAAGAAAATGTACGAAGTTCAATGAATTGGGAAAAAAGCCAAAACCCGACACAGAAAATAAGCATGTTGTGATATGACTAAATCGGCTCCTTGCATGTCTTCCTGTTGTGGTTGCCAATTTTTCCACACCGACCACAACGGATCCGTTGCACAACCTCACCCTTTGATGGAATTCATTTACGTTTTGGCCTGCCAGGCGGATGCTTCACCTTTAGGGGCGCTATCATAAAATCATTTGGCGTAAATGCCGGCTTCTCAACAGTTGGAATCGGATATATTGTTTCGCTATACGAAGCTTGGAATTCGTCAATATGATAGTACGTTTCAATAGAATCGTATATATTCTGTCCACTATTACAGAAAGCAACAACAAAATGAGCACACGAAAACCCATTCAGCTGCCACTGGAAACATGAACATAATCGCCTTGCCACGTCAACCAAAATAGAGGGCTGACTGTGCACCTCGTAAACATTGTCATCAGCCTGATTAACACTCCAACCCCTACTGTCATTATAAGCCGTGACCAATTTCTTCTCCATTTTCGGGCATAATACGTCGGTCCATTCCCTTGCCTTGACTCTACGCTCCGCCATTTGTTCCATTATTTGACCCCTAACCATGTCGACCAACCTAGTAATTAGAAGATGACGTGCCTCCCATATCCAGTTGTTAAAAGATTCAGTTGTGCTCGACCACATCTCACCGTAACGTTGCCCCCTGAAAAGGGATAGTAAAATTGTACACAAATTTATTTTTTAAAAAAACAAACTACAAGCATGTTAACGTATATATTAAATTGGAAAAAATGAAGCCATTAAAGTACTACGCAGAACGGGTTCAATCATACTTACATGAAATACACGTTAGCCCAGTGGGATGGATGCAAGTCTTTCAAGAAGTTTTCAATTACAGCCGGGCGACACTTTTTTAGCACCTCTATTTTCTGATTAAAAGATGGTATAGTAGGCGCATAAGCACATTCTCAGAGCTTCCGCATCAACCCAACATATTTCATTCGGTCTCTCAAATTCATTTGAAGATGTAGCAAACAAAATTTGTGATGTGCTAAATGGAAAATAATTGGCATAGATTGCAAAAGACCCGCGTGACGATCAGATACAAACGTCAACGTAGGCCCATTACCCACGACTTCTTTAAGATTCTGTAAAAACCACTCCCAATTTTGTTGATTTTTAGAGTCAACAATTGCAAAAGCCACTGGAAACAACCCTGTAAAAAATAGTAGACAAGCCGTATTTGGATCTTTAAGATTCTGTAAAAACCACTCCCAATTTTGTTGATTTTTAGAGTCAACAATTGCAAAAGCCACTGGAAACAACCCTGTAAAAATAGTAGACAAGCCGTATTTGGAGTACACATCATGGAAATGCAAGAAATGTTAGTACACCTGAAATCCTGCGTGCAGTACATATATATGTGAAAGATTCATAAAATATAATCAGAACTGAAATGTGACTTTTTTTTTCCTAGTACAAAATAAGGGAAAAATTTTGATACGTCACCTTTATTGCCATCTTTCGCGGTAGTAGCTAACAAATTCCCCTTGAATCTGCCTTTCAAAAACGTGTCATCCAAAAAAAGTAACGGTCGACAATGGTTGAACCCATCTATACATGCACGGAATGATATAAAATACTGAACGAACCTCCCAGTTTGTTGGTGAAATTCAAGGTTAATGTAACTGTTTGGGTTCTTTTCCATAACAGAATCACTATACCACCTAAGTTGTTTGAATGACATAGCATGATCTCCATAGACTTCACCTTTCGCTTTCTCAACCCCTAACCACATAACCCGGTAACTAATATCCAAACCGTAGTCATTTTTCATATCAAAAACAATGTCTGTAGGACGCGTCAATGGTTGAGCACGCACCCGATCTGCGACAACACTTGAAACCAAATCAGACCCCATACGTGGGTTTCTATGTGTTTGAACAGCAGCTCCACAATTGTGCACACTATCCAACTTCTTAACGCATAAAATCCTATTCGATGACAACACCCTCGCATGCACCAACCACGTGCATCCTGTGGACTCTGCAAACTTACAAACTGCCATAATGCGATCTGAATCATTTTTCAAATACTTGAATTGAAACCCGCATTCCACGGCATACTTGCATAATATTTCCCGAAATTCATTAGCACCACCGACGAAACATTGTCCAACATGGGTAATCCTGAATGCCCATTGAGCAGACAAGAACGTCTTTGATTTATTAGGATAATATTTTGGTAACAAATCTGTCTGATCATCCATACCAAATGTCCGATTACCAAAATTCAACGTCTGACCTTCATTACAATATGCACCCCCGTAGTTACCACCCACCGGAACATCCTGGATCTGAATAAGAACATCGAAATGGTTCAACCCAAATGACTTCGCAAGGCACAACATGTTTCAGATATCGTCATCATTGTCAACCTTAAACTTCTTATACCCAGGGACATCCCATAACATATACATCGCATCCCGTACCAGGTCGTCGAACTTCCCACAAAGATCATCGAGCAGCTGTGTGAATGTCATCGCGCGATGTAACCAAGCAACAACATTTGTTTGCCCGTAAGTGCACAACAACAACACATCATTCATACCTGTCACGCAACCCGTAATCGAACCATTAGACGGGTAATGCATACGACAATGAATGAATAATAACATAACAATTGGCATTACGCAGCAACGATTCGCAACTGATTTTGAAAAACAATGGACTAAAAAACAGCACGTAACAACCATGAGATACTCAACACACCCATACTTCACACACTTAAAAAATACCTTACACATTGAACCAATTCCAAAAATAAAAATAACAACACTCATTGGCAGTGAAAACACCCAACTAAAAAAATTGAAAACCAAATACCATCGACAAACATTGCACTGAATGGAAACAAAAAAACACAACAGCGCATACATGAATGTTACCAGAACAAACAATCCGTGAGATTAGCCGAAAAACGCAAAAAACATGTACGGAAACACACCAATTTTCGGTGGTTATTTTTCAAAACAGAGAAGTAAAATCAGCCCGTAACATCCGTGACATACACAACACGCCCATACTTCACTCGCTTTTAAAAAAAACCTTACTCATTAATCCACACAACAACACACACTGACAGTGAAAATAACCAAAATAAAAAAAATTTACAACCACATAACATGAACAACATTGCGCAGAACATAAAATAAACAACCACAAAAAAGCATACGTGATACCAGATCCCACAATGAGACGTTGTGTTCAGTCGAAAACGGTAGAAAACAGGGACAGAAAACTATGTGACAAAGCCGTTTGATGCACCAAATTCTGAACCAATAGAACAAAACAATGAACATCCACCACTCCACTAACCCCCGTGTTTCCAAACCCTTGCATACATTAACATTACCAATCCCTCAAAACAATAAACCGAACCCCACCAATTTAGGAAACAAACATCCCACAAAAAGGATATTATTGTAACCTGTCAAATGAGCAAAATTAACTAAACAACATTACCAAAATAAAATAGGACTAAATGGTGCATAAGAAAACTCTTAAGACTAAATGGTTCAACTTTTCACAAAATATGATTTATGGGTAAATTTTTATTTATTTATCACTAACCCCCGTGTTTCCAAACCCTTGCATACATTAACATTACCAATCCCTCAAAACAATAAACCGAACCCCACCAATTTAGGAAACAAACATCCCACAAAAAGGATATTATTGTAACCTGTCAAATGAGCAAAATTAACTAAACAACATTACCAAAATAAAATGGGACTAAATGGTGCATAAGAAAACTCTTAAGACTAAATGGTTCAACTTTTCACAAAATAGGATTTATGGGTAAATTTTTGTTTATTTATTATAAAAATCAAATCTTGAAACAAAATTTTTTTTTTTTAATTTTCTCAAAATATAATTTCAATTTGACCGATTCCTGAGTATTATCTTTTCTTGTTTATATTTTTTTAAACATCTTTTTATAAAAATAAAAAATAAAAAAATAATTAAAATAGTTAACCCCCAAAACAATGGGATGAGGGGACCAGAACAGGGAATCTAAAACCCTTGCGATGAGAAATTATTTGGCGGCTAGGGATATGTGTCTATTTATCTTACAAAATGAGATAAAAAAAAAAGAAAAAAGTGAATAGAGTCCTACCATATAGTATCTACTTTGAAAACTCGGTTAGAATTTTTTGATTTTTAAGTCACATCATATGTATATTGTAAAAAAAATAAAATAGAAGTTAAAAAAATTAATTTTTAACTTATTTTTTAAAATAAATCAATTTTTTATTATCAATAATAAAAATTAAGTTAAAATATTATCTCAACTTGTTCTTGGAGTACCAAATAACTTTTCTCAAACTTTAGTTTACTACCAATTTGTCCATTGATTGAAATTGAACAGGGGGGCATCTGTAATTTAGCCAAACCTCGAGGGGTGTATATGTAATTTGCCCTTAAAAAAAAGAAAAAAGTGAATAGAGTCCTACCATATAGTATCTACTTTGAAAACTCGGTTAGAATTTTTTGATTTTTAAGTCATATCATATGTATATTGTAAAAAAAATAAAAGTAGAAGTTAAAAAAATTAATTTTTAACTTATTTTTTAAAATAAATCATTTTTTTATTATCAATAATAAAAATTAAGTTAAAATATTATCTCAACTTGTTCTTGGAGTACCAAATAACTTTTCTCAAACTTTAGTTTACTACCAATTTGTCCATTGATTGAAATTGAAGCATATCACTAGTTGGTGAGGTTTCTTTCCGGCTATCACTTAAGTTTACTACCAATCTGTCCATTGATTGAAATTGAAGCATACCATTAGTTGGTGAGGTTTCTATCCGGCTATCATATATTATCAACAATAAAAATTAAGATACCATGTCAACTTGTTTTTGAAGTATCAAATAATTTTTCTCAAATTTGCAATTTTATGCCTGCTTAAAATTTTGCTAACAATCTTACTAAAAACACATGATCAAACATCATTAGATATTTAAATGTCATTGTTCTTTTGACAACTAATCACATTTGACCTCTTATATATTTAGGCTAAGTTCGGCAAGTTGAAAAAAAGTCAAAAAGTCAAAAATTACTCAAAAAGTTAAAAAGTTATCACTATTCACTAAAAGTCAAAAATTACAGCTGTACAACTCTTAATCCTAATTTTTTCCTATACACTAATTTATACAATTTTTTAATACATTTTTTCATAAAAAGTCAAAAAGTTAATCCAAACATCCATATTTTTTTTCTCAATTTTTTAATCTAAAAAGACAAAAAATACACTTATTTAGGACATCCCAAACAATCTCTTAGTAAAATTTTTAATAAAATTGTTAGTATATGTAAAATTATTCAACTTTAATTCACTACCAATTTGTCCGTTGGTTGAAATTGAAGCATATCACTAGTTAGTGAGATTTCTTTCCGGCTTTGACTTTTCTCAATTATCATTTTAATTTGATAGAATGTTTGGACTTAATAAGTTTATTTTGATACAAATTTCAATAATATGGATCGTTTATTTTTTATTATTCATTAAGAAAATATTCATACAAGAAATGAATATGATTAAATATTGGTAGCTATATATTTGAATCATATTTGTTTTAAAAAAATAGAAGACTGGCATAATTTTAAAAAATAATCATCTATTTTTTGTAATACAAATGGGATTCAAACATATAATTATAGATATACAATCATCTTAATTTTTTATATAAATATTCTACCCAATGAGTTATAAATAGTAAACAATTCTATTTACCAAAATTGATTAAAAAATAAGATTATCAAGTCTCTCAAGTTAAGATAACAAACTTGAGAAAAGTCAAATTATTTCTTTCCATTCATTTGATAATTGCAACCACATAATTTTATAAAATTTGTTTTGAAAAAATTAGAAATTCTATTTTAAAATTGCACTTATTATCTTCTTTTTTTAAAAAAAAAAATTCAAAAAAACATATAACTAAGATTCAACCGACCAACCAACCAAAATAAATAAATTATACTTATTATTTCAGGTATATATATAATATACCTAAATAATTTCGCTCAGATTCAAAAGACCAATTTTGATGCGCTGTGCAGTTCTCCCAAGAAAAAAGAAAAAAAAAATGGCTAATCTGTGTTTAGTTTGAGAAAATTTTTTTAAAAAAATCTTGGAGAAAGAGTTTAGAATTTTTTCTGATTTGTTTGGTTGTATATTTCGGAAATGATTTTAGAGTGTGAGAGTTTGAGATGATTTGATATTTTGTTGTAGTTGAGTAGATGTGTGTGAGAGGAAAAGAGATTGAGAAGGGGTGACTCTATTTACACATCATAGTTTATCTCAAGGCAAACCACTTCTGAAAGCACACCTTTAATAATTTGGTAAATAAATATTCTGCTCAATACACATTACAAATTTACATATTTACCCTTACTTACACACCACACCCACCACAATATACCCCAAACTTTCATTTTTACCCTCACTCACTCACACACCCCACACCCACAATATTCATCTCCCCTTCCATTTTCTGTTCAAACTGGTGAACACTATTGCTCAAAACACTATTTTTTCAAAGACGTCGTCGGTGGTGCTCAACACAGTTGGAAACAACTTCACATTGGAGATTCAGTAGATGAGTTCTCATTTGACTTAAATTTTAGGGTTTTATGTACTTATTTCCATTGCCATGAATTTTGTATTTGAATGAATCAATTTCCCGTTCGACACTAGATTTTCGAACCCTAAACATTTAACATTCGTTCAGACAATAAATTTTGTACAGTTTGCTATTTTCGAACAGAGCGTCTCTGTTCTCGATCTCGATGTTCAGAACTTCTTGGACGTCTCTTCCACTACACCGTCGCTGAAGCCGGCTTCAGAGTCTGTCTCGATCGAAATCTCATGCTTTGAATCGGTCAGTCTCAATCCCTAAACTTCACTCTTAATTCGCTTTTGATTTATCATTGCTGTCTCTTACTTCCGTTGATTTTTTGAGTTAAATATTAGATTATATATATATATATATATGTATGTTTGTACATGAGAGGCATATAACTGAGAGTATATGTACTTGTATATTGCTTGGGATGAGCCTCAACTATTTGACAAAATTAGGGTCATTGGTTTTTTTGCTTTTTTTTTTCTTGGATTTATTGAGATTGTTGATAGATATTATATTTATTCTTATCCTATATGGTGATTATATAGATGGTGTGTATCATAACTTATCTTTTATAGTCATTTCATTTAAGGTTAAAATTGTAATAAAAAATAAATTAATTAATGGTGTGCATTGAGAAGAAAGGTGGTGTGTAAATAAAGTCTCACATTGAAAAGGAGAGAGGAGACAGAAAAAGTGATTGATTGATGTATAGGA